ACCCAAGCTTGAGACTCAGCAGGGCTGCCACTTCTTCTATTAAATTTGCAAAGCATAAGCGCGTGCGCGCGCACACACACACACACACACCCACCCCACCTCTCCAGCCATCAGGATTCATAATACATAGGGCACAATGCAAAGCCATTACATGGGGTAACTTTTTGGAAGATTAAGAGCCCTGGACAATGTGGTCATCTGGGCAGTGAACCGGTGGGTAGAAGTTCTATCTGTCTCTCCCTTTATTATTCTGATTTTCAAATAAATAAATCTTCTATCTTTTTTAAAAGTTTCCAAATAGAACAAAAGAACATAAACCAAGTGCAGGAGCCTTCTGTGCGAAGGCCTGTGCTCCTGCATGGGTTGTGATACCCAAAAGCCGACCTGATGAGAATGAACTGAGACAGGCAACATGCCGCACGCTGCGTCTGACTCCTGGCAGATCCTGAGCAAGTTTCTTCATGTCCGTTTTTAAGTTGCGCTCACGAGGGCACTGTCAAGTTCAATGCATTCAATGGCTTCTATCAGGAATGGGTTCTCCATGTATGAGAACAAGATGGTTTTATTTGTAATCCACTGTCCTTCCTCTTTGGGACAAAAGGCAAAAACTAAAAACAAAAAGCAAACAAGGCAAAGCAACCCCAAAATCAAAAAAAATCAAAGTAGTTTGGGCAGGGGGAGGGCAAAAACAAAGCCCAAACCATGCATGGCTTGAATAATTGAGATGCGCACCAAATGCAGGCTGTTGCAGGTGGCCCTGTTCCCACTGGAAAGCTCACACTCTGAAGCCATGTGCTACCTGGAACTCCAGATGGCCGGGCTGAGGAACCAAGTCATCCAACAGAAGGTTCTGGTTGTCAGCTATGATAATCAGAGGCATGTCACAGAGGGGCTGTGGAGTAGCGTGTTTCCTAATGAAGGTGGAAAAAAAAAAAAAAAAACACCCCAGAACTGATTTCTCCCAGATGGCCACAAAAATGGGCTCTTCTGGCTTTTGTTGCTCCTCTGCCCACCTCCAGATTGAGCTGTGGTTTAAAGAAGATGCTTGGTTCTCAGACGACCATCATCATCATGCAGTTTGAGAAACCCTTTTCCTTATGCAACATATATGACATCTGGGTTTAAAGAGGTCTTCTCTTTTAATCACTCTTCAATCTTCTGCAGGGGTAGCTTCCAGCTGCCCGGACTGATTTAGTTAAATAATGTAATCTATTTGTACACAAATGTGGAATAAATGTCACTGCAGTTCCTTAGCGTGCAGTTATAATGAGTTATTCCTTTCTCGAGGTGATTAGGAATGTTTAGTTTTTTTTTTTTAAATGCATATCAAGCTTCATGATTACCAATGAGCCAGGGACAACCTAAATTAGCCTCCCACAGCTGCTGACCCCTGCAGCCACAGCAAATCCATCCCTCTCCGGGATGAGTCTTTTCCAGGTGCTAGGTTTGGAGCTGATCTTTTGCCCATTGCCTTAAAGTGTGGCCTTCCAGGAGAGCCTCCACGGACCCAGGTCTCCTCAGAGCCAGTTAGGCAGAGACCTTCAGCATTTCAGGCCGCCCAAGACCTCAGCCCTCATTTGGGCTTCATCTGAAACAACGTGAAGACAGTGGCAGGCTTCAGACAAGGTAGCTTACAGACAACAGACATTTATTTCCCATAGTTCTGAGAAATTTTTTGCAGGACTCAGGGGCTGGCAGATTTGGTGTCTGGTTACGCTCCATGCCTGCAGGCACCATCCTGTGTTGAAAATGAAGGTGTAGACCTGGGTTCTCGTCTTGTGTCCTGGTTCTGAGTTTTGGAAAGTGATTCAGTGTGGTCGATGGTGATTTAACGGGCCTCGGTAAGCCCCTCCTCTCGGAACGCATGCTCGTGGTCGTCCCCCGGAGCCTCTAGGGCTTTAACTACAAGTCACATATAAGGGAGGAGGGCTTCAAAAAGTTCTTGATACACCAGTTTTTTTGTAATCCACACTTTTTTACATAATATGCACTATCCACAAGCCCTTTGAAGCACTTTCACCTTTAACCATGGTCTGCTTTGACCCACAGAATGTGGAGGAACTGACCTTCTGCCAGTTGTTGGTATCAGTCTTCTAAAGGATTGGCAGCCTTTTCACTCTGTGTGAAGACAGTTGCACAGTAGCAAGTCTGACTATCGAGAGATTGCTGTGCTCTAATGGAAGGGAGCCAGCTAGCTCTCTCTAATCCCACTCATGAGGGCTCCACCTTCATCATCCTATCACCTCCACAAGGCTCCATTTATTAACATCATTACCTTGGGGAGTAGGATTTCAATGTATGAAATTTGGAGGGAACACAATTATTCAGACCACATCACTATCCTGATCTTTCAACACCTTGAGATGATTAATTGTTGAGAACAGGAGGGGAACCTGGCCTTGAGAGGCAGGGCAACAAGATGCTAAGCTGGGCCAGGCCAAATGTCCTCCACATGATTGCAATTTCCCTGCCAGGCAAATAGGAATTTGGCCTGCTCTCCAGGGATTATCTGTTCTACCATAGACATTTTCCTAGCATTTACTTCTCCAAATGTTTGTGACTCCTTTAGTGTATGGCTTCATTTCCTGTACTCAAACACATCTACCTAAGAACACTTTCTGGTTTGCTAAACCCCCAAATTAAAAGTACAAAAGCCCCTACTAAAATGGTGAAAGCTAAATGAAGGGCTCACCTATTGTCTCCTCTAAAGAGATGCAGCATGCAAGAAAGGAGCCACAGCACAAACCACCAAGTCAACAAAATGAGATTCTGCCTTTTGCCAATGAATATCTGTCTTCCTGTCTTGGTCAGGTAACTGTGGAAGAAGTAGTTCTATCACCTTGTGCAAAACTGATGCCTCTGCAGCTCCTCGTGGCTTTTCAGGAGAAAAAGCAATCATTGTGTGCTATTTGAATGTCTTCATAAATATAATTTATAGCTGTGATACTGATCAGTCCTGCACGGTCTCTAAGATCAATAGTGCCATGTTCATTAGTCCCGAATTGAAAAGCTCTCAAACTTTGGCTAGAAGATGGTAACTGTTTTTAATGATTTTTTTTGCCAGTGGTTATCAAAAGCAGATTCTATGTCCCTGATAATCTCCTTAGTTATCTAGGGGCTTTTCATTTCCTCGTTCAACCATGAAGGTCAGAGGGTTGCTCTCTGCCAAGATGACTATGGCTAACTTCTCAGACTCTTGGGACAAAGAGTACAATGGTTCAGTAACTGCTGGGTAATAGTTGCTTTTATTCAAGCCCTCTGATCACAGGGAGGTTATGTTCCATGGCTGGAAGCATCAGCCCGTTCTTGAAAGAAAAGGGTGTAGATTTCAGTTCTAATCCCAGAAGTACTACTTTGCTTAGTGGTTTTGAGTTTGCAGATATTATTCAATGTGGTAGAGTGTTACTTTGATAGCCCCTAAGAAACCATTCCCCTCAATGTACACGCTATTTCTGTAGTCATTTTGACTTTGAGTGGTTTAATCATAAGCTAATATTTAACTGTGGGCTGCTGGAACCAAGAGAACGTAGGGAACAGCCATTGCCAGTCAGTTGTTGACCTCAATCTTAAGAGGCTTTGGCAGCTTCCACTCATGCCTTCTGTGGCAAGGCAGTCTCCAAGTCAAAGTCTGCTACCCTGAGGCTCCCATTCTGGGAGGAAGCCCAAACAGCCACGTGGCGAGGCCCGCAGGGAGGAGAACGCAGGCTGCGGTGCATGACTGATCTGTTTCAGCTCCCAGCTGGTGATCAGCACCGATGTTCAGTCAGGTGACTGAGGCCATTTCGTTCTTTCTGCTCACCTAATAAACCACCTGACACCACAGGAAGCCCAACTGAATCATAAAAAGTCATACACGGTGCTGTATCAAGTGTCTATTTGGTATGGGTTTTTATAAAGCCATACAAAACACAAATAGCTAACCTCTTGAACTTCTTGAAACCTCAAGGTTACTGTCTGGAAGATGAAGGATGGAACTAGAGAACCCTGAAGCTGTACCAAATCCCTCTGTCCTCCGAGGCTCAGCCTTACTCCACTAATATTTCTAGCGTCTGGTTCTCCGACCCTAGAAATGTCACCTTAGTCACCTTTAATCATGTGGATTTTTCTGACATTTGGTCACTTGCGATTGTTTGGACAGTTTGTCACTTGACAACTTTGTTCTTCCTTTGCTCTTCCTGTTTCTCGGTCATGAATGCCTTTCCTATCACGCACAACACCGCCTCTTCCATGAGGCTGCTCCCACTTACCCTGCTCACCTGCACTTATACTTCCTGGCTTCATAATTGCCTCTATGTGTCTATAAATCTTATTTTAGGGCAGCATTCTTATCACAATGAGAGCTGGGGACAAATTGCAAACTCCAACAAGGGCCCAATTAAAAGACAATCTTAAATCTCCCAGACTATCAGTGATCTTTTTGGATAATCTGGAGTTTGGTTTGTAAACCCACTATTATTAGCTTAAAAATAAGGATTTTATATATATATATCACAATATACACATGGTAGAAATTACAAAATGCTCAGTATTACTAGATGTAACTCTAGGTATTTTATTTGGGTAATCTCTCGGAATCTTCAAAGTGCCCTGTGCTGGACAAGCACTGTTAATCTCTCCATTTCACAGATAGGAAGACTAAGTACTCGGAGCTGTCATGTGCAATTGGCCTGGTTCTGGGAACAAAGCTTTCCCACTTCTGCTCAGTCCTTGTCCTTTTAGCTCTGTGTTCCCAGCTGGGTTCAGAGCACCTTGCCCAGAGGAAGGGCTCTGAGCATTTGAATGGAGGGAAGGTGTCATTCTCTTCCCATGCATAAATAGCACCTCCAATTATAAAGGAGGTAAGGCAAGGATAGTTTTCACTTCACAGAGTCCCTTCTTGAACCAAAGCAGAGCTGCCCAGAACTGCTCCCCAGCACTTAGACTTAGAAGGCTGTCAGCTGGTAGAACTGCTGCCGGAGCCTGGGGAGAGCAACTCACTTGTTTCTTCATTTCTGAGACAGGGTTCCTGAGGCCCAGCATCCTCCTCCCCAACTGGACGAGGTGACCAGAGGTCTTGGATGCAGTAAGTGGGGTCGTACAGCTCTCAAGGTGCGACACCACCTCCTCACGGTGTGTTTGCCCAGGGCCTCATCTGTGAAAATGTGAGTGAGCAGCACAAGGTAGGGGAAGATACATTGACAGTGATTGAGGGGCTGGGCGTCTGGCATGGGATAGGTGGTCTCATGAGTGTTTTCCTATTTAATTGCAACAGAGGTTAGAGGATATGAGTCACTGCCAGCCTGCCACACAGCTAGTGGGCAGAAGGGGTAGGACAGTTGAAATGCAAATCTGACCCCAAATTGTGCTTCTTCCTCTCCCTCACACTACTTTGAAAGGACCCTATTCTTGGAAGGTTCATAAGCCTATGTACATAAAGATAATAAATGCATAGATGCTTCTCATGACATGCGCCTGAGGCTAACATTTGTTTTTATAAGGACTGGGGGAGAGGAAGTCACTATGTGCTGGTGTAAAATGAGCAAGCGTCCTGGTTGAGACTTGATATAGAACTTGAGAGCAATCCAGGGCAGTGAGAGGGTCATTAGTGGATGGCTGGACATGCGGCTTTATCTGTCCCTCACCCAGCAGCTCTTACAGAAGGCCCATTACATGTTACCCTCTGTGCTAGGTGCTCTGATGTGTGACACCAGGCTGCCTCATGTGCCACCCCTTCCTAGGCACACACTGCTCCTTCTACTTGTCATGTTCTTCCTGAGACTGCCGGATCCCTGTCACTCAGTATCCAGCCTCAACGTCTCCTCCAACGAGTGGTCAAGTCTGTGTTTCACTGAGTCAGAGTCTCTGGATTTGAATCCTGGTTCCAGCAGTGAGCACATAGATGAACTGTGACGACTATGTTCTCCAGACTCCCTGTTTGTAAAGTGAAGACACGCACTTTCTAATGCTGTCTGTAATAAGGATTGCTTTAATGAATACACATAAAGAAGTCATCATCGTGCCTGACATCTTTCTGGATCAACAGATTTTATCTGGAATAATGACGACAATCAACAGATAAGAAGAAGGGGGAAGAGAGAGAGCAGAAGATGAAAAGAGCGAGGAAAAAGGAGCAAAAGGCTTTCCCAACAACTGCACAACCCCCAGCACAGTGGACTACACTGTTTTTGGGTTAGTTGTCCCTGTCCAAGACACAGGCAATTTACAAGCCTGTCCTGTACCCCCACCCCTTTAGGGCAAACACGTATATGCACATCTGAATTTCTGCCGTTTGGCACCAACTATGCTTTAGCAAATGGTAAATAAAGAATGTAGAATGAGTCTATAAAGCACCCAATGGATATTGCCTATGGCTACTCAAAATAAAACACAGGGGACAAACGGCCACCAGGAAGATAGAATTTAATGCTCAACAACAGAAGCCTTTGTTCTGCCAGAAGGAACTAAAAGCCGAGAGAGCCGGGACTCAGGACTGGCATCGGGCCCAGTGGTGAGGGTGCCTAAGATGCCTGCAGCCCACACTGGAGTCCCTGGGTTTAATGCCCAGCTCTAGCTCCTGCTTCCATTTTCCTGCCAATGCTGACCCTGGAAAGCAGCAGTGATGGCTGAAGCAAACGGGTTCCTGCCACCCACAAGGCAGAGCCCAATTGTGTTCCAGTTCCTGGCTTGGCCTCGCTCCAGCTCCAGCTGTTGCAGACATCTGGGGTGTGGATGGCAGCTCTCCCTTTCCATCTGAGTCTGCCTCTGTCTTTCTCAGTGTTAGGTATCATTACATGCATTTCATAGAAGAGCAGAGCAGCTCAGTGAGGTTCATTCACCAAAGTCATACAACCAGCTAGGGAACGGGTTAGTTCTGACCAACTCCAAAGGCAAAGGCAGTCTCTATGAAGCAGTAGAAACAGTAGCTATACTACTATCAGCTGTCAGACTCCAGCAGAGTAATTCACTAAACATCAGATCAAATCCATTACCAAAGCATCAGAATTGATCTATGGTATTGCTTAACTGATTCCCTCTTGTCAATTTTTGGGTCATTGAAATGTCCTTTGAATGGAAAAAAAGAGATGAGAGTATTGAAACATATTTATAAAATAAACATTGCTAAAGACACAGCAAAGCATGCATGTGCTGTCCTATACACATTAGAAGGTGATGGATGAGGCAGCTGTGAGTATGTGCTTGGGACTTCTCTATAGGCAGTACTTAACCAAGGTCCTCGTGGCTATCTGAAGTCATTGCTGCCCTAGCTATATGGCCATGCCTCCTACAGGCTGTTCCAGGCTGAAACCTGAGCATGGGAGAGATAGTAAGGTAGACTAGTGCCTGGGATGCCGGGACTCCTCTGAGGTCAGCTGGGGGTTGGGCACTCCCTGGCAGCTTTTCCAGACATTGCTTAGGCTGCAACCCAAGATGTTTCCATCTAGACGTCTTTTCCTTTCTCCTTCACTCGGGGTCACAGAATTTCCCCATGAGCCCTTCGTCCCCTGGTAACCTCTCTATTTTCTCTCATAGTCTTCTCCCCTAACGAAACCCTGACAGCTTACAGTTTGAAGTTTGCTTCTTGGGGGGCCAGGCGGATACAAAGCAAGGTTGTATTTTTTGTCTCAGCAGCTTTCTTCACAAACTAATTAAGTACTGATGGTGATTTTTATGCAAAGTGAGGAAATAATCATAAAGTTTATAAAGGATCACTTGTACAGGATGTGTAGTCTCTTAAAATGTGAAGAGATTTTAAAATGTATTAGGTGTTTGGCATCTGCAATCTCATTTATGCTTCACCACAACCCTACCGGTCACATCATTTCCATTTTCCAGAAGAATCTGGAACTCAAAAGGTACACAGAGCTTTCTCAAGGTTACAGCATGTCTTGGTGATGAGCCAAGGCTCTAATGTAAGGCTCATGGCTTTGAGTATTTTCATAGAATGTGGTTTTCAAACACAACAGCCTAAGTGTACTCAGCATTAGCTGTTGCTCATGTCATTGTCAGATCCACATTATCGTTAAATACAATGTGGTCTAGACCTAGTTAACTGCTTTCTGAGAAAAGCTGTGTGCCCAGTAGAAGCCTAGTAGTAAGTATCCAATTGTGGTTAGCTGATGTGAATTGAAAGTTGGTAAACACGGAGAAGACTTATGGCATTTACCAAGCATCTAATAACCTAGGAGCTGTGCAAATTAGAATGGATTTGTTGGGGTTTCAAGTTTCAAATACCATGTTTGTAAAAGGAAAAACAGACACACAGCAATAAAATGACTAAACACGAGATGCTGGTGAGCAGCGGAAGCTGCGAGCAGAAGGCTGTGTCAACTGGCCTGCTACAGACCTGACGTTTGTGCAGCACGCGGCAGCTTGCAGAGCACTTTCACACAGTAACACCACGTGGAATCTGTACAACAGCCCTGGGAGGGAGGTGAGCTCCACACTCTTCCAGAGACCAAACACAGGAGCTTTGGAGAAGACGACAAAACCCAGTTTTGCTCCATGCACAATCCTTTCTTTATGGCAGTAGCAAGGTTCCTGACTAAAGCTTAAGGGAATTGACAAGTTGAGGCAGAGCAAGTTAAGGTAGTGGGCCAGCGGTCCACACGTAACCTTTTGTCCAGGCAGATTTTCATGGTGGGATACAACATTTGAGGAGACTTCAATGCAGGACGCAGAAACACATAGTCTAAGTTGCACAGTTAGGGGAACACTGGCTGACAACACCCTTGGCACACACACACACAAAAAAAATGGTGGCAAAAGTGAATTATCCTCAAGTGGCCACAGGGCCAGAGTACATCATCGGTACTAGAGTACTCAGACTGGGTAAGGAAGACTGTGATGAACACTGGGGGGTCACTGGTCAGCAAAGGAGCTATTTTGGAGCACATTTGCTACCCTCTGCTCTGAGGACTTTAAGACATAACTGGGTCAGTTTTTACTGTGGAGTGTATATTTCATATGTGAAGGTTTGGACAGAAGCCAGTAAAATTCAGAGTTTTAGTTTTCACGTGATTCTCCTTTCCTCTTTTACAAAAAAAAAAAAAAAAAATCGAAAGTGGTGGATCTACTAAATGTAGTGCTTAGGGAGGCACCTTGTTTATGGCAGCAGAATGTTAAGAGTTAGACTGCATTTTAGCACCAGCAAGCAGCTTCACCAAAGTCACCATTGCTCTCTGATCCTCACACAAAAAAGGTGCAATTAGAGCCGAAGCCTTTGCAATACATACAGTTATTGTGTTTTGTTTCATGTGATCACAGCGAGTGGTAGGCGTCTGTGTGAGCTGAGGACTATGGGTCCTACTCACAGGTGTGCAAATGCACACATTTTAAAACTCAGTCTCAGGGAAAAGGCCTTCAGCTCAACTTTTCTAACCTAGGGATTAGGTGTTAGCTATCCTAAAATTTGATGACTTCAAAGAGAGAAATTAGGAACTCTGATTATTTTTAAAAGTACAACTAGTAATAATTAAACTTTGGCTATTGTATGGTGAGTACTGTCTTCACATTAAATGATGCAATTTTCCCTCTTTGCTTCTACTCATTTTTGGAAGCAACTGGACAAGTTTCCCTGTGCAGTGAACTCAAGAGTACTCAGAAGAGATAAATCAGAGTAATTTGGGGTTCATTGTGCAAATGGCTAGAGAAATCCTCACAAAAGGAAAAAGAAAATCATGAACCCAGTGGGTCAGAGCTCAGTTGTACCTTGTGCATCATGGAAGAGAAGCCGCTTTGTGACAAAAGAAGATTGGCAGGCAGATGCTGAGAACACAGATGCTTGCAAGAGGCTGAAAGGGGGTCAGCATCATAGAAATTCCAATTTTCCAAGAGGCTCCAGGTTCCAGAGTGGACCCTACCAATGAGGTCTTCCTTGGGTGTGTGCGGGAGCTGGATGGCAAGTCCTGTGTCACAAACAGCATATGCTCAGTAGAAAGACTGCGGGTGGGGCTTCACTAACTGAGGCTGGCATAGGCATGGGGAAAACTAGACCTGGTTTGCTACACATCAAGGGAAGAGGAGCAGTAAGAGCAGAATGCTGAAGGGCTGAGAGAGCTGGCTGATCAGGGGAGAAATGGGAACAGGAAGCAGGAGAGCTGGTCACTAGAAGTCATGGTGAAGCTCAGACATGACACAGTGCAGGCAATTGTTCTCTGGTAGGTTTCTTAATGGCTCTTTACATGATCTGAGAGACCACCATATACTCAGTTGGTAAACAGTGACTGAGCTCTTGATATACTAGTCATTGTAAAGAGTAAAAGGAGAGCATGTCACAGACTTGTAGGTAGCACAGAGTACACCAAGAGACATGAAAGAGAGAAGAGGAAATGGCACCCTAATCCACTGATGGTGGGAATGCAAACTGGTAAAACCACTATGGACAACAGTTTAGAGATACCTTAGAAATCTGAATATAGTCCTACCATATGACCCAGCCATCCCGCACCTCAGAATTTACCCAAGGGAAATAAAATCAACACGTGAAAGAGTCATCTGCTCCTCCATATTTATTGCAGCTCAGTTCACAATAGCTAAGACATGGAATCAACCTAAATGCCTGTCAACAGAAGACTGGATAAAGAAACTATGGCATATTTACTCTATGAAATACTACGCAGTGGTGAAAACAACAAAAAACAAAATCTTGTCATTTGCAACAAAATAGATGAACCTGAAAAACATCCTACTTAGTGAAATAAGCCAGTCCCAAAGGGACAAATACCATATGTTCTCCCTGCTCTGTGATAACTAACAGAGCACCTAAAAATAAATCTTTAGAAGTGAAATTGACACAAGGAGAAGCAATGACTTGAACAGCCCTTGTCTCAACTGTTGAAGGACAGTTTATTATTTTTTATTATTTTTTTCTACTTAATACTATTGGTTGAACTCTTTACTTAACATAGAATTAATCATAGGTATATTAAGTCTGTTGAAAAGAGATCCCAGTAAAAAAAAAAAAAAGAGTAGGAATAAGACAGGGAGGAGCTGTACAGTTCGGGACACATTTCCATGGACTTACCCCTAATAGTAAAGCTAAAAACTTGCCATGGAACTCCAAATTCCATTAAGCTGGGTGGTACTAATGCCATCTCACATGTTAAAGTGATCATATTAAGTGTGTAATTAATTGTTAAAGGGATCATACAAATAAGGCCAAGTTTCTGGTAATAATTATAGGTAGAATTAAAAAGGAGAGAATGTTTCAACACAAGAAGTGGTCCACAAAGCAGACTCATAGAATGACAAATGCCATAAACAACACTCTGACCTCAGAATTAGCCCTTAAGGCATTCAGGTCTGGCTGAAAAGCCCGTAAAAGCATTTCAGGCATGGAAAGCTAAGACACAGTGGCAAAAATGTTGTACATGAAGGATCCCTGTGAGTGAGACAGACAATGGAAATAAGGGGCCATCCAAGAAGGAGGTACTTTTCTCTGAAGGGAGGAGAGAACTTCCACTTTGCTTATGGCCTTGTCCAAATACTGATGGAGTTTGTGGACTCAAAAGTCTTCCATAGCCTAGGCAGCTTGTGTCAAGAACCTCAGGTGCTCACTGAAGTTATAAATAAGAGTGTTAATTGTCAAATCAACAACAGGAGTCACTGTGCACTTATTCCCCATGTAAGACCTCTGTCCTTAATGAGTTGTACTATGAAAATTAACTATAAAACTTGTCCTCAGATAGTACTGTATACTTTGCGTGTGTGTGTGTGTGGGGGGGTACAAATTGTTGAAATCTTTACTTAGCATAGAGTTGGTCTTCTGTATATAAAGTTAATTAAAAATGAATCTTAATGAAGAATGGGATGGGAGAGGGAGTAGGAGGTAGGAGGGGAAGGGGGTGTGGGAGGAAGAACCGCTATATTCCTAAAGCTGTACCTATGAAATTTGCATTCATTAAATAAAAACTTTCTTAAAAAGAAGAAGGGCAAAACAATGTTGCAGACATGAACAGCAGAGGGGAAGGTATTCTAGGGAGAGGACATCAGAAGGCTCCAAGAGATGAAGTGGAGTGCTTCCTTAAGAAGAGGAGACCAAGGTTGGCAGAGTCTGAGGGTGCATAGTGAGGGATCGCTTGTGTGTGCAAAACAAATGAGTATATTTCAGAGAATAAACAAGCATGGAAATGTCTAAGGATACAGTAAACATCCAAGAGCCCAAGGTGAGGGAGGGTGATCAGCATGTTAGGGAAGACGACTGAAGGAACTCAGGCTCTTTCTGTCTCAGGCTGAATCAGCCTGTCTATTCTCTGTAACAATTATTGTGCCTAGAACAGAATAGGCATTCAGGAAATATGGGAAGAGTAAATGAATTTCTGTTCAAAATAAGGATGTACTTTCTAATATTAAAAAATTGCTCAAAGACTGGTTGGACTGTCAAGGTCACTTTGAGTATCCAGATTCTAATTGCTCAAGGCTGTATGTGTGGTTGGTCTATACAGCCTCTGAATTCCCTTGTGCTGCATCCTTCGAGTTGAGTTAGAGGTGGCAGAAGGCAGTGGATAAGGAGCCTGGGAAGCTGCAGAGACAAGAGACTTTACTGCTTTTGCCACATGATCTGGGGCCAAGCTTTCTGACTTATCCATGTGTATGGGGAGGATGGAAGTAGGCTAGTTTTCTCTATCAGCTGCTCCCAAACAGCCTGCAAGAACAGCCCAAGTGACAGTAAACAGTCTGTCAAAACATTCTCTCTATGGACACCCACCCTCCTCTGATGCTAACGTGTTGGCTTACAACAAACTGAACACACCTGGCTTCAAAATTGCTTCCTGAGCACAGTTAAAAGCCCAACTAAATTTCCCAGAGGACTAGCCCATATGTCTTGCTTTTCCTTCCGTTAACTACAGAGACGGGTTTAGCCAAAACCAAAAAGAAACCCAGGATAAACAAAGCCCCACGAATGTCCTTAAGGCATGTCTCATTAATTCTCAGGCCTCCTGAGTGTACATCTTCTCAAGGAGCAGCAGCAGTCAAGTGGAGAGGCAGGACTGGCTCACAGATAAGAAATAGCAAACCCAAGGCTGATTAAGTGAAGAATTAAAAGTTTATTATAATTGGTGTTTCCAAGTAGGTTGCCCAGTAATTGTTTAAAAAAAAAAACACAAAATGTGTACATATGAAATTGTGAATCCCTTTTTAGACAGAACAATGAAATATTATTAATTTGTGTGGTTGTAATAGAGCTTAATGAATTTTCTGGTTGACTAATCTTTGGGAAACTATATTGCCAATTAAGTAAATATTAAACAAGCCACAAACAAGTTAAAAGTAAGGAGGGTAGAGAGAAAATTTTCTGAAGAACTTCATCATCTGACCTCACGCATGCTCTTTAACTTGCCTCCAGCTTTTGGAGAATGGGCCCCATCATGTTCTCTCTCTCCAGGGTGCCTTTGCCCAAGGAATCCTGCCCATTGGAAGTCCTGATTCTTGGTTATTCCTCACTGGCCACTTTACAGATAATTCTCTGGGGGATACATTCCCTGCTTCTCTCCAGAGTTATAACACTTCCTTTTGTTTCTCTAGCACTCCATTTTGACACTTATTTACGTCCTAATTATTATTATTTGCTTGCCTGTGAACTCAAGGGAAATTATTATTTCTTTCCAGTGTCCAGCATCATGTCTGGCACATAGTGGTTGCTTAATACTTGAGGGAATTCTCATTCTCTTAGCCATTTACTCTTTATTTTATTCAACTATGTAGCATGTAACATCTACTATTCATGCACTGGGTTGAAACACAAAGATTCGTTTTGTTCAGCTCCTTATCTAATATGACCTGATCACGCCGTTTAGCAAATTTCAGTCATCAGTCAATATCCAGCTCAAATAGAACCTTTAGAATCTCTCCCTGATCACGTCAGTTCTCTTTATTCTCTTGGTCCATGTACTTTCTTAGTTCTTGTTTTTCAGTTTACTCTAATTTATTATTTACATCTGTCCACTTCTATATAAAGCTATCTGAGAAGGACAGAGAAAAATTACACATCTGAGGGTCTCAAAGCAGGACTTACTTGAATTACTGGCATCTACCTCTGGGTTTGTCTGTTGCACACTACATTCTTTTGCTCATGCTGCCATAACAAATGCAGACTGGGAATAAATGCTACAAGCACTCCAGACGTTTAGTGTCTTCAGTTTGAAGACTGAGAGTCAAAAATCAAGATGTCTGCAGGCTGGGCTTCTCCGGAGGAGCCTCCCCTTGGCTTATGGATGACTATCTTCTTGCTGGCTGATCACATAGCTCTCCCTCTGTGCACATGCATGCCTCGTGTCTCCTTAGAGGCACCTCTTACATGACACCAACCAGATTGGATTAGAACCTCCCAGAATGTATCCACCTCTTTAAAGGATTTTTCTCTAAAGAGTTACGCTCTGAGAAACAGCAGGTTAGGATTTTAACATATGAACTTTGGGAGGACAGAGTTCTGCATGTAATTTTATTAATTTCCACCTCAATATTTAGACCTGGAAGAGACAATTATCTGTAGATGTAAAACTCAAGCTTTTTATTTATTCATTCATCCATTTGAGAATCAGAGAGACAGAGACAGACAGAGACAAAGCATGCTCCTATTGGCTGCTTTCCTACCCAGATGCCCTCAACAGCTCAGATTGGGCCAGGCTGAAGCGAAGAAAAAAGAACTCATCCCGGGTCTCCCAGCTAAGTAGCAGAGACCCATCTACCTGAGCCATCACTTAGTGCTTTCCAGGATACTAGGATTTAGAGTGAAGTTGGAAATTGAATGAAGGTGCTCAGATGTGGGATGTGCACATGTTTACTATGAGGCATATTCACCATGCACTGATCAAATGTGAGACAGGCTTCGGTGGGGCTTGAGTCCTTGCTATGCCTGAAGATTTGAGAGTTGGTGGTGGGATACTGCACAGGGTGAAACTTACATTCAGGTGTAGAATGACCATCATTGCACGGGGATTTTCTATAACATTTATTTGTTGGTTTTTGAAGAGACAAAGTGCAATGGGAGAGTAAAGATGACTTCATCTTCATTAGCATTTTCCAGTGGTAGGCCTCAGTAGACATAATTAATATACACTGACAAGGACCATTAAGCCCAGAAAAGTTTTCTCTGCCTTCCTGGACTCAAAGGAAAATATCAAGCTTCTTTCTTCATGATTCCCTCCTCTCTTCTTTTAGATAATTCCCATAGTACAATACCAGCAGTATCGTGAGTTCATACAAGAACTGGAGTCCAACCCTAACTCTACCACTTGCCAGTTGTGTGACTGGAACACTGCCATCCATGGTCCTGGGTTTCAATTTCCTCAGCTATGAACAAGGTTAGCTTCATCTTCCTCATTTCTTCTCCTGTGTACATTAAACTCCATCACTGTATATACAGTACAGAGCAGAGTTCTTGGTACACAGTATATTGCATTCCTTTAGGCTTCTACACTCAGTTTTCAGGAGGTGTGACCTCTGCTGGGACTGAGAGGAACAACTCAGTATTCCACTGTTCCTACTATCACTTGTGTAGAAGAAAATCTAGGGAGACTACTGTCCTGTTGCAACAGCCAACTAGAGATAAACTTAAAATAGCCCATTAAGCTAATGGGCTGAAGACTTGTCTTCAGGAATGTCTCCTACCATGAAATGCTTAAGTGTTGGAAACAACTAATCTACGAGATATACAAATATCAATGTAGGGACACAGGAAATATGAAAAATATCATGCCCCCAAAGGAACACAATAGTCCTTTAAGAACAGGCCCCAATGTAAAGAACATTGATAAAATGTCTGACAAAGAATTTCAAAGAATGACTAAGTATTTTCAAAGAGATGCAAGATAATGCAGAGACAGTTGAATAAAGTTTGGGAAACAATGCATGATATGAATGAGAAATTGAGAAGAGACAGATTTTGAAAAGAACCAAGTTGAATAAAAATCACAATGGAATGCTCTGCATCAGACTAAATTAAGCAGAGTATCTGAACTTACAGTGTCTGTTGAAGTATCTCACACAAATCCACACATACATATACAAACATGAAGATAGCCTCTGAAACCTTTGTGATATCATCCAATGAACAAATTTTCTAATTGTGAGGGTCCTTGAGGATTAAAAAAATTGGAAGCATAGAAAATCTATTCAATGAAATAGCAACCTAAAACTTCCCAATCTTCAGAAACATTTAGACATCTAAATACCAGTGATCCGTGGGACCTCAAATAGACATAACCAGCAAAAACCCTGTGACACATTATAGTCAAAGTCTCAAAAATAAAAAACAAAGAGAATTCTAAAGTATGCAAGACAAAAGCATTAGATTACTTTAAGAGGGTGACCTTGAGACTATCAAGGATTTCTTTTGAAAACCTTATAGGCCAGGTAGGAATGGAATGATATAAGTTCTGAAAGAAAGAAAAAAGAAACTGTCAATAAAAAATACTATATCCAAAGTTACTTCATAAGTCAAAGAGAAATCAAGACTTTCCAAGATCAGTAAAAACAGAGGAAATTCACTAGCACCAAACTAGTCTTATAAAAGATGCATGGGGAGTCCTCTTAGGGAAACAAAAGGAATATAAGCACCCTGATGAAGACAGGAGACAGTATAAAACATGCCAGGAGAACAACAAATGATATTCAAAATAAGCACAGGAACTTATAAAAATGACAGGATATGCCCATAACTAATAAATAATAACTTTGATTGCAAATGGACTACGTTTCCCAATAAAAAGATATATGTTTAATGAATTTGTGAAAAGGAAAAAAAAGACCCAGTGGTATACTCCCTATAAGAAACTCACTTCATCAATAAAGACACACAGACTGAAAGTAAAAGGATGGAAAAAGATATTTCATGCAAATGGAACCAGCTGAACAGAAGTAGTTGTGCTTTTATGAGACAAGATAGACTAAGATAAAGCCTGTAAAAAGGGACAAAGATGGTTATCATTTAATGATATCAGGGAGACATGATGATTATAAATGTAAATGTACCTAATGCTAATATACATAATTATATAAAGCAGACATTTATAGATGTAAAATGAAAGACAAGCTCTAATATAACAATAATAATAAAGGACTTCAACAGTCCACTTTCATCAATGGATAGATAATGCACACCAAAATCAATAAAAAAAGTAGCAGAATTAAACTGTACTATAGACCAAATAAACATTTACAGAACTTTCTATTTAACACTTAAATGTGCATTCTTTATATCATTATATTGAATATTATCTAGGATAGAGCATAAGATATCACAAAATAAACCTGATCAAATTTTTAAAAAATGAAATCATATATCTTCTCTGATAACAGTAGATTAATATCAGAAATCACCCACAAAAGAAACGCTAGCAGTTATACAAATACAAGGAGACTGAGCAACATGTTTCTGGATGAACAATTGTCACTGAAGAAATAAAATGGTAATTTAAGAATTCCTTGAGACTAATGAAAACAGAAACACAATCTACCAAAACTTACAAGATACAACCGAAGCAATACTAACACAGCAGCTTACAGCAATAAGTGTCCACATAAAAAATAGAAATATATAAAATAAGCTCACTAATAATGCATCTTTTAAAAGACCTAAAGAAATAAGCACAAATAAAACTCAAAACTAGTAGAAAGAAATAACAAAGATCAGAATAGAAATAGGTATAAACAGAGACTAAAACAGCAAAAATTGATGAAATGTATTGCTTTTTTAATGAGATAAGCCAAATTGATAAACCTTTACATAGTCTTAAAAAAAAAAAAAAGAGCCCACATTGTGGCACAGCAGGTAAAGCCACTGCCCACAACACAAACATCCCATATGGGGCACCAGTTTGTGTCCTGGCTGCCCCACTTCTGATCTAGCTCCCTAATGGCCTGGGAAAAGTTGTGGAAGATGGCCCAAATGATCAGGCCTCTGCCACTCTCATGGGAGACCAGGAAGAAGCGCCTGGTTCGAGGCTTTGGCCTGGCCCAAGCTGGCTGTTGTCATCTGGGGAGTGAATAAGTAGATGGAAGATGTCTCTCTCAAACTTGACTTTTAAATAAATAAATCTTTCAAATAAATAAATAAATTTTTAAAAAAGAGACAGATTCCAGAGAGATCAACAAAAAAAAAAAAATGAAAATAAAAAGAGAAAAAAGAAAAAGAGAAGTCTCATATAACTAAAATCAGAGGTGAAAAATTAAATATTACAAATGATATTACAGAAATACAAAAGACCATTCGGTAATTTTATGAACAACAGTGCACTAACAAATTGGAAAACCTAGAAGAAATAAATTTCTATGTACACATAAGTTACAGATCAATCTAGAATCAATCCAGATGTCTACCAACTAAAGATTGGATAAAGAAATTGAGGTATATATACACTATGGAGTACTATTCAGCTATGAAAAACTGAAAATCTGTCATTTGCAACAAAATGGATGCAACTAGAAACTATTATACTTGGTGAAATAAGCCAGTGCCCAAAAGACAAATACCATATTTTCTTCCTTTTCTGCGGTACCTAATACAATACCTAAAAGGTAATCTAAAGAAGTGAAACTGATACTTTGAGATGTGATGATTTTGAACAGCCTTTTTCTCAGCTGTTGAGATTTTTTCCTCCATACTTCCATACTATTCTTTCTTCCATACTATTTACTTAGTTTAGAGTTAATCTTATGTATATAAAGTAACTGAAAATAGATCTTTGTGAAAAATAAGAATGGGAATAGGAGAGGAAGGAGGAAGAATTGTGGAAGTGCAGGTGGGATGGAGGGCAGGGTGGGAAGAATCACTATGTTTCTACACTGTGTATATGAAATGTATGAAGTTTGTATACCTTAAATAAAAGATTTCTAGGTTAAAAAATAAAAATTTAAAAGTGTAAAAAAATACAAAAAATGTTGAATTGTAAAGAAATGGAATATCTGAACAGATCAACAATGAGTAATGAGATTAAAATCATTAATAAAATGTTTACCAACAACGAAAAGCCCAGGATCAAATAATTTCACAGCTGGATTTTAGCAAACTTTCCAGGATAAATGGACACTAATTTTCTCAAACTATTACAAAAGTACTGAAAGAGGAAATTTTTTTCAAATACATTCTGTGAGGCCAGTATTACCTTGGTTCCAAAATCAGAAAAGGATAGAATAAAATAGAACTATAGATCAATATCACTGATAAACATAGATGCAAAAAGTGTCAAAATATCCTAGGAAATAAAATCCAACAATATATCAAAATGATCATTCATCATGATAAAATACAATTTACCCCAGTAATGCAAGTATAATTCAACACATGCAAATAGTAAAGGTAATGTATTACATCAATAGAAGGAATGATATATATCACATTATCACATCAGTAGATGGAGAAATAACTCAATAAAAATTTAAATCTACTCATGATAAAAGAAAACTTGAATAAATTAGGTACTTAAGGAAAATAACACAATAAAGGCTATCCATGACAAAACTGCAGTTAACATACAAAGTGGAAAAAAGTCCAAAAGATTTCATCTGGAATTTAGAATCACAAAACAATGCATATCTCACTGATCTTATTTAGTATGGTATTGAGAGTTTCAACCAAAGCAATTAGGCAAGATAAATGGGGTAAAAGGCATACAAATAAAGACAGGAGGAGTCAAATCATTCCTATATGAAGAATATTATATATATATATATATATATAATACCTGAAGATTCTGCCAAAATTATTAGAACCAATAAATGGATTCAGTAAAGTTGCAGAATATGAAATCAATGTGCAAAAGCCAGTAGCATTTTTACACATCTATAATGAACTTGCTGAAAAAGAAATCATAAGCACAACCCCATTCACGAGTCACAACAAATGCTGCAGAATAAAGTGAAGCAAGGATGTGAGTGAGCTCTATGATGAAAATTTAAAAATAATGAAACAAATCAAAGAAAACACATCCCAATGGAAAGACCTCCCTTGTTTATGAATGGAAATAATTAGTATTATTAAAATGTCCATGCTACCCAATGTGATTTAAAGATCCATTTCAATCATTATCAGAACTAATGACATTGTTTAAAGAAGTAGAAAAAACAACCCTAAAATTCCTATGGAATCATGAAAGACCCCAAATATTCAAATTAATCTTGAATAAAAAAAAACAAAGCTGGATGCATTACAATATTACATTTCAAGACATACTCTAGGGCTAATGTACCCTAAATAGCATGATACTGGCATAAAAATAGACACCTACTCAAATGTAATAGCCCAGAGATCCCAGAAACTGATTCACATATCTACAGATAGCTGACCTCTGACAAAGACACCAAA